ACAAAACAAAACAAAACAAAACAAATGGAAAAAAAAAGTAAACCTCCCCAACAGTTAGATACGAGTCAGTGTTGGAGGGGTTGTGGAAAGATAGGCACTCAAGTTAACAATTGGTGGCGGAGCCGTGTGGATTGTCCCAAACCATTTAAAAAACCAATTAGCAATTAGGGTTATCATCCTCGTTTTTTTTTTAAGTGACTAAAATATTCACATCAGAGATTCCACTGGTGGGCGTACAAGGAGGACAGAAAAGGATTAGTGAATGACTAAACATATGAAATGGGATGTTACTGTACTATGCTGGGTTAGTGGAATTGTTTTGCTTTAAGAAATGATGGAAATGAAGAATTCAGAGAAACATGGAGAGACATCAAATCATTCAGAATGAAGGAAACAGAAGCAGGAAATCAACATCTACAATAACAATATGAATTAAAAGCATAACAGAGTAAATCCAATGTTGTGTATTTAAAATAACTAAGTCTGTCCTCAAAGACTTGAGAAAATGTGCCTAGCTTTATTCGGAGGTGAGGGGGAGGGCTGTGGGTCTGGAACATTACATATACCATCAGACTCAGTAGATAGATTGGTTGGTTTTGCTAAACTATTTTTTATTCATTTCTTTTGTATAATTCTTTGTCATAAAATATGGCTCACTGGGTAGGGGAGAAGGGAGAAACATTTTAAAATGAAGGTTATATAAAATGGTATCAATGAAATTAATCTCAAAAAATAAAATGGCCGCTATCTGGTTGAAGAAGAATGAGGCACCTCAGGAAGCACTGGCTTCCCCCTCCATGGAATTCTCCAAGCAAAGGCTGCATGACTGCTTGCCAAGACCACTGCAGAAGAGACTGTTTAGGAGTGGGGTGCAGCTGCTGGTCCTTGAGGTCCTCTTCTCCTCTGAAATTCTTTGAGCCTCTGGCTGAGGAATGAGGATCGAGAGAGGAGAAAAGAAAGATAACCTTGATGTTTGGAGCTTCAGTAACTGAGGAAAGTCGCTGTTCACTGAAATAGGAAAGTAAAAAAGGGGAGATGCTTGGGGAGGGGAGCTAATGACATCACTTCACTAGTGTGACCCTCAGTGGGCGTCTGCAGTTCCGCCTATGAGAGTGGGGAGGTCGATTCTGGAGTCATCCGGCTATCAGAGTGGAGATTGCCAAAGAAAAGCTCAGCGGCAGTGATGGAGGGCAGAGAAGAGAAGCTTGGGATCATGCATTTTTTACCAAGATGGTGGACATCAGGGCCTGGGAGCAGAAGGACTATCCATTATGTTCTGTAACAGCCCTCACTAGCCTTGATTTCCCTGAGAATGTAAAGAGCTGGCTTCCTCTAATTACAAACTGTCCTTCTGCCCTTAGTTCCATTGAATAGGAACTGGCCTTGACCTCTGCCATCAATGATGCTTATGCTGCTCAGAGATAACCCCATGGGTTGGCGCTCCCCAAACACCACAGGGAACAGATTTAAAGCCAGAAGGAACCTTACCTATTTTTTTTTATTCTGATACTCTTTAGCTTTCAACTGATGTTATTAGAATGAAAAAATAATAATGATGATGATGATGATTTGAGAGGGAATCTACTTAATCCCATTGTTAGTAAAAGGGATAAAGTAGACCAAGTCTGCTCACTTTGGGCCAAGCCCCCAGCACCAGATGCTGCCATTGACAGGACCTTCTTATATCAATATTTACAAGGAGAGGGAAACAAGAAAAGTGGTTTGGGGAGAACCACAGATGGAATTGTACAGGAATAGACTTGAATTCTTGCATCTAGCCGCCAATGAGAGGGGCCTCTGAACCAGCAGATTGGACAATTATTTGGGGAGTGGAAGCTAAAGAGACTTGAGAAGACATGAGGAAAAAGCAGCCTAACTGGCTCCCCCTGGGCTTGGGAGCCAGGCCCTTGTTCTTTATTAATTCCCAATGACCTTAGTACAATTTGGTATTATTAATGCTCACCAATTAAGTCCTGCTCCAACAAATGCCAGGGCTCCTGTTCCCATGACAAAGAATGAACCCCTTCTGGTCTCATCCAAAATCATTCCAAGAATGAAGTCATGCTGCTTGAGGGTCAGTCAATAAGAGTGAGCTGTCCCCCTCCATCCCCATTTCTGGGATGCAGCCTGAGACCCCCACCCCCACTCCTTGCCTTTGGCTCTGGTGCTTGAGAATCTGTCTGGAGCTACTGCTGCCACTGCAAATGTCTTTTCTAGATTGATTTTTTTCTCCCTCTTTTTCCTGTCACTGCATTATGAAAGGTCAAGTCGACAAGAATTTATTAAGTGCCTACTATGTACCAGGTTGTTGTGCTAAATACTGGAGATATGACCAAAGACAAAATCAGCTGCTGCTCACAAGGAGCTCACAACGTAATGGGTAGACAACATGAAAAAAAATTATTAGGCAAAATAAATAAAAAGGTGGCCAGTCACTGCATATAGAAGATATAGACAATGGAAAAGGGAAAGGTAGTTTAAGGGGGAATGCAGGAGCAATGTGGGTTGACTGGGAAAGGCCTCTTGGCCACAGACAACTGGTAGCACCATGGATAGAGTTCTGGGCCTAGAGTCAGCACAACCTGAGTTCAAATCCAGACTCAGACACTTACTAGCTGTGTGACCCTGGCCAAGTCACTTCACCCTGTTTGCCTCAGTTTCCTCATCTGTAAAACGAGGTGGAGAAGGAAACGGCAAGCCCCTCCAGTATCTTTGCCAAGAAAACCCCAAATGGGGTTACAGAGAGTTGGACATGACTGAAACAATTGAACAAAGGTGTAGGAAGACTAGAAAGTAAGGGAGGTAGGAACAGATTATAAGGATTTTTAAACCTAAACAGGATTTTACATTTGATCCTGGTGGTAATAGGGGGTCACTGAAGTCAATCGAATTGGAGGGAGGAGGGTAACACGGTCAGACTTTAGGAGGAGCTATTATGGACTACAGTGGAGAGAGAAGGCAGGAATCCAACCAAAAGAGGGGAGCAATCTTCCAGAAAGAGCTCAGTAAGAGAAATATCAACTCATTTCTTTGTATAATTATGCGTGAGTTCTTATGTCATCCTTGCAGCACTCTGTCTCCCCCAGCCAGCCTCCCCCCACCATTTTCCTCTGGATGGTTGCTATCGCCTCCTAATTAGTCTTCTGGCCTCTTGTCTCTCTTACTATGATCCATCCTCCACCAAGCTGTCAAAGTAATATTCTTAAAGCACAGGTCTGATCCAATGACTCCCCTACTCTAAAAACTGCAGTGGCTCCCTATTGCCACAAGGTTAAGATATTAATTCCTGCTTGTCATTTAAAGCCATGTCCAACCTTACACAACCTGTCTTCCCAGGTCATTACATATCACTCCCTTATACACTACGTTTCAGCCAAATGGTCTGACTCACCATTTCTCATACAAAACATTCCATCTCCTACCCCCTCACCTGTATACAGACCAGACCCTAGTCCTGGGACCACCTACCTCTCCCTCTTGGAATCCTTGGCTTGGTTCCCAGATCATTTCAAGGGCTACCTCCTTCAAGACCTTTCCCAGTTCCCCCAGTTGTTAGTCTCCCCCACCCCAACTTCTTGAAATTACTTTGTATTTATTTTTTTCATTTCCTTAGTGTACATGTCACCCCATGGGCCATCCCACATTGAGTGTAATCTCTTTGAGGGCAAAGACAGATAGCTTCATTTTTAGCTCTGTCTCCAGGCCTTAGGCCAGTGTCTAGCACCCAAGAGGGGCTTAATAAATATCTACTGAATAGAATTAAATTTGACAAAAACCTGGGATTTTCATGGTTGTTATATGTGAGTGTTTGCAAAGAAAGCCATGAAATGAGATTACTATAAAGAATATGAACTTATACGGTGATGAATATAGGAATCATTCTCTGAGCTGTAAATTCTGTAAGGAGCCTTCTCCATCAATCACTACCGCTTTGCTCTAATCTGGGCACAGTCCATTACCAGGCAGCCAATGGGGAGGGGCAAGAAAGGGATTGAGGTAAGATATTGATTCTGATGTCTTTGTGCAAAAAGGATTTGAGAATATCTCTAAGCAGGGGTGCAGGGGCCATATTACTTCTGAGTACAGAGATCCTGAGTACAGAGTTCTGTCTAGCAATCCCAATATGGAGCAATTCAGCTGAGGGGGACTAGTACGGTCCCTGGGGCACCACCTGGATGCTCCTGTGAGGGTAACAGGCTGCGCCTGATCTCAGGAGTAGCCGCTGCAGGAGTTACCTTAACTGGGATGAATCTCTGTCTCCACATCCTAGTTATAAATCAGTGTCATTGTCTTATGGACACCTTAATGTCATCATGGCTTAGATTCCTTCTTGAAAAATGAAAGTGCCTGCTCAGCACCTGTCACTGTTAGCCCCAAACAGGTGACTCTACACTTTCCTCTAAACCTAAGGGAGTTGCTAGAAATCTCTTCAATGAGGCCATCACATTGGAAGGCAAGGCAAGGTAGAAGAAGCGAGGATGAGGCAACACAGAGTATGGAAGGAGAGAGAGAGAGAGAGAGAGAGAGAGAGAGAGAGAGAGAGAGAGAGAGAGAGAGAGACTGGGAGCATGAAGGATGTGAAGTTCCTCACAGCCTACATGACATCACGTGGAAACACTCTCGAGATGGAATGGCCATAAAAATTCTGAGAATGAAGATAACAGAGGAGTCAATTTAATTCAACTAGTATTTCTTTATTGGATGAGAGGACTGCAGATCAAAAATGGAAGGGACTTCACAGGCTTTCTAGTCTAACTCCCTTCCTTTACAGTAAGGAAACTGAGACCCAGAGAGATGGAGCATCTTGTCCAATGCTATGCAGAAGGGGTGAGATTGGAACCCAGGTCTTTCAACTCCAGTGCTAATGCTTTTTTTCCCATTTATTTTCTCATCAGTTACATTTTCCAAGGTATCCATCCCATCTCCTCCTCAAAGAAAATCTTTCCTCTTAAAAAAAAAAAGAATAGAAATATTTTAAAAACAATTCAGTGAGAGTCACAAACCCATGAACCCAATATGATGTGCAGTGCACTGCAGAGTTAGCTAAGCCTGTAAAGAAGATAGAGGTTTCTTCTGTGTCTTCTCCTGTGTCTTCAGGCCAATATTGGCCATTGTAATTTCACAGACTTCAATTTCAGCCAACATTTGTGGATTCTTTCGACCAGGGAAGAAGGCCCAGTGGTAAATACTGGAGATAAGAAGACAAAAATCAAATAATGTCTGCCCTCCAGGAGGGCAAGTTCTATTGCAAAGACAAAACAAGGACACAAATATATTTCCCCCCTTGAAGGACCAATTTTCTTTTATTTTAATTATATCAAGTAGAAATCTCCCCTAAGCTCCTTGCATGCATCCTGTCTTTAAATGGAGAATACAGAAGGTAATTGTCCTTTTCCTTGGTGCCATGAGGGTATCATTCTGAACCTCAGCCCTTGAAAAGATATCAAGTCGCTCCCAGATCAATTATTCTGGAAAACGCTGTTCTCCAAGATGCTCAAGGAGCCCAAATGGTTGTACATTTAAATCCATGGGTCTGACTTTCAAGTGTTCTTTCCCCACCCTTGCTATGAGCTTCCACTAATCCCTGCTTTCAACTTCCTCTCCAAAAGCAGCTCACTACCCTCCACCTCCAAAGTATTTTTTTAATCGTCAATGACCTTAGAAAGTAGGAAGCTAAGCTTCTCAGAATTATGTGCAAAATAAGAATAAATAGGAGCTAAGTGGGGGCCTCTTCTGTGACCCAAATTCTCATGAGATAAGAGTACCAATCAATTCATTACTCAGTCATGAAGGTCTGTTAAACACTTAAGAGGAGTTCATCCCTGGGCAGACAGAGACAAAAGTGAAATAAGTAGTTGCTACCCTTGAAGAACTTGGACACTAAAAGGAAAAACACTATTCCCATCAATTTGTTTGCATGTTGTCTCCTCCGTAAGATTGTAAGCTCCTTGAGGGCAGGGACTGTCTTTTGGTTGTTTTTATAACTTCAATATCTGGCACCAAAGAAGCACTAAATAAATGTTTATTAAATGATTGACTGAAATAACTATGTAATGTGTGTGTGTGGGGGGGGTGTTTGTGCGCAAATGTGATTGGACCATCTCTGGTAGAATTTGCTCTTTATCTCCCTAAATAACAGTGGTCTAAGAATCTTATATAGCCATTAAATACTACTGACAAATCAAACCATTGGCTTGGAGTTTGTACTACATGAAAGACTGTAGTCTTTCAAGGCATACAAAAAAGTGTAAGATCTCAATCCCTGTCCTCCAAGGGTCTCCAGTCTGGTGGGGAAGAAAAGGCACAACAAGGACACAAACATAAGATTCAGAGTCAAGGAAGAATGTTGGAGAAATAGATTGAATTGAACATGATAATGCAAGAGACAATAATAACAATGAGGGTAAAAAAGTCATCATTCATGCCACAGCAACTATTGCAAAGCATCTGATCCATACTAACTCAGCTGAGCCTCATGGGACCCTAGGGGGAAGTTACCACAATTTTGTTTCTCCACATTGTACAGATAAGGAAGCCAAGTCTCAGGAAGTTAGTTTCCCCAGGATCACACAGATGTCAAGGGCCAGAAGGAGAATTTGAATCCAAGCCCAGTATTCCAACTGCTATTCTATTGTCAAGGGAACCCAAATGGTACAGAGTAAGTGCTAGAGGGGTCCAAATGGATCCCATGGCTTGTGGTGGCCCAAGATGGCATCCTAGAGGAGGACATTTGGGATTTGTGTGTTTAAGGATAGTTGGGACCTGGCCAGCTAGAGAAGTTACTGCAATTCAGGAGGTAAAGAATGAGTAAACACCGATCAGGATTTAAGGAAGAATAATAGAATCAGGGGTCTAATCAAACCCTTGTCACTATTTATGTGACCTTGGTCAACTTAATTTCCTCTGTTGCCCTCAGTTTCTTTATTTGTAAAAAAAAAAAAAGATTGAATTGAACGAGATTACATCCAAGATCCCTTATAGTTCTCTATTTCTGATATTTGAAGATAAGGGTGAGGTGAAGTCAGATTGTGGAAGACTTAGGGCAGATCTTGTCCCTTTGAAGGGAAAGGGGAGCCACAATCAGGTTGCTGAACTGGGGAAAGAAAATATCAAACCAGCATTTTAAGCTTTACATAACATCTCTCCCTGAGCCTAAGCTGTACAGTGAAAGGATGGATCAGAGAGGGAAATGCAAGTGACCAAGGGACTCATTAGGAGGCCAGTGGAGACAGTGTGAGCAGAGACTGAGCTGGGTGTGGAGAAGTGGGAATAGGAAGCAAGGGAAGAATGCAGGCAATGAAAAAACACACAATGTCAATAAGAGGGCATTTTTTAAAAGAAAATGAAGCCAATTAAAAAAAATCAAACCGGTTGAGCGAAAGAAGAATCAACCATTCTTGGTGAGTGATTAAAAAGGAGGATGACTGAGAAAAAGTCAAATTTTCAATCCCGGGTGACTGGAAAAATGATAGAACCACTAAAGAAAGAAGGAAGTGAATGTAAGAGCCTCAAAGACTGGGGCTGTTTTCTGAAGCATTGCTCTGTCCCCAGAGCCTCCTCCAGTGCCTGGCACACTTACTGCATTTAGAACTGAACTGAAGTCAGCACAGAGAACTGGTCTGAGCCTCAAGCCAAACCGTGGTCCTCTATGGATGTAGATGTCATTTTGTCTGAGAAGGATTCATGGACCCAAAATAGGTTGGGTCGGCTTGGGATTCAGGGAGGGGAGGGAAGAGTAGAGCATTTCAAGTGGGGACCATGTGAAGGAAGGCAAGGATGTGCCAGGGAAAGTGGGAGAAAGACACCTATGGAGCAGAGAGGGAAAGGAGGGCTGCGTAAAGTGGAGTCAGGTTATAGTGGAACATCTGCAGAGGAGGCTATGCTAGTTTCATCAGGAAATGGAAAATACGTGTAAGACTTTGGGCCAGGGAGTGACGTGGTGAAAGTAACATGCAACAGATCAGGTGGAGGAGCTCCATTTTTGAAGCTGTGTTGAAACATCAACAGATATCCAGGAAGCAACTGGGGGTTCAGGTCTGAGAAAACAGGCCATAGGAGAGAGAGAGAAACTGAGAGAGTGAGAGAGACAGAGATGGAGAGAAGAGAGAACAAGAGAGGGGCAGAGAAACAAGAAAGACAGAGATAGAGAAGAAAGAGAGAGAGAGAAGAGAGACAGACAAAGAGACAGACAAAAGGAAATAGAGAGAGACAGAGAGAGAGAGAGACAGAAAGGGATACATACGGAGGGAAGAAATAGGCAGACAGACAGAAAGGGACACAAACACACAGAGAAGAGAGAGACAGAAAGAGACAGAGAGAGAAGGGAGATAAAGGAGGGGGAGGGGAAGGGAGACAGACAAACACAGAGTTAGAGAAGAAAAAGAGAGACAGACAGAGGGCAAGGACAGAAAGACAGAGAGACAAGAGACAGGGAGAGGAGAAAGAGAAGGAAGGAAGAAATAGAGAAGAGAAAAAGAAGAGAGACAGAGAGAGAGAAAGAGGGAAGAGAGACAGAGACACAGAGAAAGAGAGAGAGACAGAGAGAGAGAGAGACTGAGAGAGACCGAGAGAGACAGACAGAGACAGAGAGAGACAGAGAGAGATTTTTAAGTTACATTCATAAAAGTAGGGCATCTAGGTGGCCCACGCAATAGAGTACTGAGCCTGGAATCAGAAAGACTACTCTCTCTAAGTTTAAATCTGGCTTCAGATACTTATAACTGTGTGATGCTGGGAAAGTTACTTCACCCTGTTTGCCTCAGTTTCCTCATCTATAAAATGAGCTGGAGAAGGAATGGCAAAGTACTCAAGTATCTCTGCCAAGAAAACCCCAAATGGGGGCATGAAGAGTTAGACACAATTGCACATACACTTAAGAGAAGTAGGAACTAGTGAAGACAACATGGAAGGATTAGTCAGAGACATGGCAGGAGAAATAGGACAATGGGTAAGAGCAGAAAACACAGGGTGCATTTGGTCCAGAGCACTAAATGCGACCAAGAACTCCAAAAGAATGACAATGGCAAACAGGCATAGAATTGGGTGATAGAGCCCTGAAGGCCATCATGTGACCTGGATAAGCCAGCTCTCTCCGGCCTCCTCTTGCTATTCATTTCTTGGATAGCAGCTTCCAGGGACTTCAGAATTTCAGTATCTCCTTTCTGCCTTGGCAGGAATCCCTGGAGAAGGCCCAGGATTCTGCGGCGCCAAACCGAAGGCAAGTTCTCATTGTATATCCAGCTCTAATTCACTTCATGACCCCAGGCTAGTCAATTCATTGCTCAGCTTACATTTTCCCATTTACAAAACAAGGACAGGGATATCACTGCACCCTATGTGTTATTCAGAAGTGTTTTTTTAGTCTGATAAAATGATTGTGAAATTTATTTCACATAGAAAAATGTATTTTCATGCTGAAATAGAGAATGTAAGGACAAATAGCTTCCCCTAAAGATGAGATGAATTGAGAGATCCCTATGGGATATTAAGGGTTAACTGGATGTTGTAAGTCCCTAGCCTTTGGTGGTGAAGCCTAGTTTAACAACTCTGACTTTCCAACAAACTTCATACAGTCATCAATCCATTCACCAAATATTTATGAAACACCTCCACTGTGCCAAGTACTGTGCTGAGTGCAGAGAGTACCAAGACAGAAGAAAAAACAGTGCCTAGCCCCAGAGACCTTTTATTTTGCTGGAAGGGAGAGCAAGTTCACAGTTAAATCAATCTGAGGGCTATACAAAATAATGCAGAAGAGAGGAAAGGATGCTAATAACTGGGTGGAACAGGAATGGCCTTGTTTAGAAGGGGACCATGAGCTATGATTTAAATGAATGCTCTAAGGCAGAGGTGAAGAGAGTGCATGTCTGACCTAGGGGACCACTTGTACAAAGGCTTGGTGGTAGGAATTAAAATGTCAGGGACAGAGAGAGCAGTTAACAATCATTCCCAGAGATACAACCATGACATGTGTACATGTGGCATATGAGACCGACAAAGTGTGACAGCGCTTTCACATCTTACATAGATGAGCTATTCTTGTCATCACAGGAGAAAGGAGGAGATGCAAAGATGAATCGAGGTCACTCAGGAACAGCCACAAGAACAGAATGCTACTGGATCAAATGGGACTAATGCTGATTTATCTCTGGATAGAGCCTATGAAATGACTAAGGTCCCAGAATGGAACCAAAAGGCCCTCAGTGGGTGACATTCACAAAAATACAACATGCTTTATTTCAACAAAGAACCATAAAATAAATGGCTAAGTGAAGAGGGTATATCAACCAAAATGGCAGGTTCCATGGCAGCAATACCAGACCAGTTTATTGACACCAGAAGCAATGGGAAGTTTGTCCTAAAGGAGGCTCGTCTTACTGATGCGCACAGATTTTGCAAGGAAATGATTTTTTTTTAGAAAAAACTGCAATACAGCATTTCAGGTGAGACAAATTTAGCACCCAATGAATATCCCGAAATTCACAATTAAGTGGCCAAAATTTTCCACCAGAAGCTTACTATTCTTCATAAACGAGTAGCTGACAAATGACCATACTACAGATGCATACCCAAACAAACAAACAATAGTAAAACAAGAAGATTATCTCAAACAAACCCAGTGTTCAAAAACACACATGGGCACACACACAGAGGCAAAAAGAAAGAAATAAATAACAAGAGCAATGTTTTTCATAGATGCCTCCAGAAGGAAATCTCTTACTGTAGTCTAAGACTATACAGTGTGAAAAGCTCTCAGATACAGGGATCCAGTGGGAGAAATCAAACATTTGGCCAGAAAAAGAAGTGCATCCCACTGTCCCTATTGTCCTGTTTGCTAGGGGAGTTGTTCTGAAGATGCTTTTACTGAGTCTCTGGGAGAGAAATCTACAATCCAAATATTTTATCCAATTCCTCCTCCCAAATGAAAACAAATAAATAAGCAGATCACAATCATTTTATGCATCCACTCAAGAATTCACTGGACAGTAAAAGTAAGAAAAGAAGGGTGGAAGAGCCACTAAAACTAGGACCGTTTCTCTCTGAAGGGGGGAAAGGGGAGGGCTATTATCACGTTCTCGGTCAGGCATTAAATACACCAAGACCATCCATTGTATCCCAGGCCATCACCTGTCATCTTGACCTTTGTCTTGCCATGAAACTTTAAAGAGTGTGGAAGAGAGAGTGAGGCTGATGACTTTGTGCAATTCTGCCTCACTTAAATCTTATTCACATACAAGTCAAGACATCACCCTATGATGTCATTGGTCCTCTTTGAAAACTAAGGACGAGCAAGAATAAGATTTGCAAAATGCTCTGCAAACATTTATTATGGTGAACCTTCACAAAAACCCTGCAAGGTAGATGTGATTACTATCCCAAGTTTATAGGTGAGGAAACTGAGGCAGACAAAGATTACTTGATTTGTCCACAGTCATACTGTCAGTAAGTACATTGGGGGGATTTGACCTCTGGTCTCTCTGACTCCAAGCCTGGCCTGCTAGCTCCTAGGCCTTACTGAGCCTCAGATAATGCTATTATAATACAACAGGTAATGCCAGGCCTTACATGTCCTTGTTCCCATTTGATTTTTCTCTACCTCCTGAGCTTACATGTTCCCTACTTCCCCAGTATGTCATAGAGGATGGCACCCATTAGTATGGGAAATGGTATGTTTTTGGTATTTATCTATTTTGAGCTTGAAGAGTCCTTGGAGGTAAGTAAGAAACCCACACCTCAGTCTAGGGAGGGGAAACAATTTGTCCATGATCACACAGGTGAAAAGTGGCAAAGCCAGGAATCGAATTCAAGTTTTGAATCCAGGAATCCAGGTTCTGCCACAGTGATTGGGAAGATCACAAACCCACCTGTGTTATTGATCACAACTCTGCAGGAAATAATGACATGATCATGAGAAAATCCACCCAGGGCATTGGTCATTCAGCTAAAAGTTAGAGGGTAACAACAAGGCTTTTATTTGCGTTTATTTTTTAAATGCAAAATGTCAGTTTCTCACAAATCCTATTCAAAGATGGGTTTTGAAATTATATTTCTTATATACTTTGGGAAAACTAAAGGCATTTTACATTTTATACTTAGAGAATACTTTTCATTCATTGATCTCTCTCTCTCTTTTTTTTTTTTTTTCTGGTGAGACAATTGGTGTTAAGTGACTTGCCCAGAGTCACACAGCTAGTGAGCGTTATGTGTCTGAGGCCAGATTTGAGCTCAGGGTCTCCTGACTCCAGGGCCGGTGCTCTATTCACTGCGCCACCTAGCTGCCCCTATTCATTAATCTCAAAGTCCATACAAACCTCAAAGTTTACATGTTGGTGATTTTTCCTTCCTTCAGAATTCTACCTTGTCATAGTAACAATTATGTATTTGTGGGTTTTTTATAGCTTTTTAAAAATAATTTTAATAAAAGAATTATTTTTTTTATTTTTACTCAGATAGAAAAATATCTGTGTATAAAATGTCAAAATCATAAAATAAGGAGAATAAAATTTTTGAACAATAAAAAAAAGAATTCTATTTCTTATATACTTCGGGAAAACTAAAGGCATTTTACATTTGATACTTAAGGTATATTTTTCATTCATTGATCTCTCTCTCTTTTTTTTTTCTGGTGAGGCAGTTGGGGTTAAGTGACTTGCCCAGGGTCACACAGCTAGTAAATGTCAAGTGTTTGGTCTGAGGTTGGATTTGAACCCAGGTCCTCCTGACTTCAGGGCTGGTGCTCTATCTGCTGCGCCACCTAGCTGCCCCTAATGCTCTCATTTTATTGACGAGGAAACAGACTCATAGAAAATGATAGGCTCGTAGATTTAAAGTTGAAAGGGGCATCTGGTTCAATATTTAGTTCAACACCATCATAGTACAAATGAGGAAACTGAAGCCCAAGGAAGAAGAAGGATTTGGCAAAACTCAACCAGCTAATAATTGAGGTCTAGGGCTGGCACCTGAGACTCCAAAGCCAGGACCTTTGGACAGAGCTCTTGTCTTCCACCTGGTACAAGAAGCCTTGTGGCTCTTCTGCCATGCTCTCATTTGGATCTTATGAGACAGCTCTCTTTGACTCTTGAACTTCCGTTGGTTCTGAAGGGCTGCTCAGATGATTCAATAAGGAAGAAAAGATAAATCAGCATACAGGTAATAAACTCCAGGTTACGTAAGTAAACATTGCTTAATTATACTCCTATTAATATACAGAATCTGTAATGAATTTTGAGGCATTTAATTATGAATTTGACAAGATAATCTAGGGGTAGTTAATGATTATACCAGTAAATTGTTGGGGGGAGAAACCCTGACAGTTATTAAGTCTTGTAACAAACATCAAATTAAGTTCCTCTAGCTGTCTGGTTAAATAGGTAGCAGTTAATTATGAAGTACTTACACATTCTTGACTATATGAAGATGCAAACTTTTTACTGTGTATTAAGTGGGCAGTAAAGAATACATTGGGCAAGGTAGCAGCTCATCCATGTGGTTCACTGGTATACTATGGCAGGAAACCACTGAGGAAGAAGAAACTTGTCTTTTGGCTTTTTTCCTAGGTTCATTTTCTCCTTTCTTAGGACAAGAAGAGTTGAATCCCAATGAAAAATAAAGAATGAACTCAGTGAGTGGGACCCAGTGTTCATTCAGCCTCATTGTTTTGGGGGGCAGTTTTCTGTGCCACATACCAACAACTCTGCTATAGAAGGGAATGTGTTCTTGTCCACAATGTTGCCAAACATCCTCAGTTCCCTTCATCACCCATTATGGATCAATAGATTTCTCCGAACTGCTGTGGTTGATTATTTTTCTGATTTATGTTTATCACAATGTAGGATTGTCATGTCTAGACCACTGGCCTCCATGACAAAAGCTGGATTCAAATCCCTCTGCAGACAACACTGGCTGTGAGATCCTAAGAGAGTTGCTTGTCCTTTCTGAGTCTTAATTTCCTTGTCTTCAAGATAAGGACAATTATATCAACTCATAAGAACATTGTGAGGCTCACAGTGAGATAATAACTAGAAAGCACTTTTTAAACTTTAAAGTGCTATAGGGGTGATAGCAATTATTATTATTACTACTATTGTTAGCTTTCATAACAATTCACGAACTGAGGTTTTACTTTGGTCAATCTTACCTAGTCCAGTCTTCAAGAGGGTTCCCTCATTGTAGAATTCAGGATTTCCAAGAGCAAGTCTGTCTTTACCGGTTGGATTCCTCAGAAGAGAAAAGAAAGTGGTCCAGAATACTCTAGACATGATAATGGAGAATGGGAGGAATGTCCATAGGCACTGCCATGAGACAGGTTAAGGGAATATCCTATCAGTATAAGGAAGTGCTCGGTCCAGCCTCTCCTTTGTCAGAGCCAAGAAAGGAGAATGGACAAAGCATTTGTGTGGAGCCTGTTATATACCAGACACTCTGCTGAGCACTTTCCACACATTATTTCATTTGGTCTTTACAACAGCCCTGGGAGGTAGGGGCTATTATTTTCACCATTTTACATCTGAGGAAACTAAAACAGACCGAGGTTAAGTGACTTGCCCAGGGTCGCACTTCTAGTGAATTTCTGAGGCTGGATTTGAACTCAGACCTTTCTGACTCCAGTGCTCTGTCCACTGAGCCACCTAGCTGGCATAATGTCTATGTAGCAGACACAATTATTGGTCAGTGATCAGTGGAAAGAATGTTGACTTTGGAGTACGAGGACATGGGGTTGAATGTCTTGTCTGCCCCATACTCAGTATTTGATTTGGGATTCATCATGCAATTTATTCCTAATAAGGGGGTTGAACTAGAAAACCTATAGACTTTTCCAGGTCTAAATTTCTGATCCTATGATTCTCTTCTTTTGCTGAAAACACTATGCTTTTCATCTCATCAAAAACATAGTAGTGCCTGAAAACCAACTATGTGAGATGCCCTGGCATCTCTTCTGTCCAAACTCAAGACATAAAATTACATAGTTTGGGGTTTCATGTCAAACAGAGATGGAGTGGCATTAACCTTGGTACATGAGGAATAGAGATTCTGACTCAAGCACCTATGCTTCATTTCACACAATCATAGAATCTCAGGCTTTGGGAAAAGACTTTGGAACTCAATCTCCTTTACAACATTTGTGACAATACTCATAAGTCAGCCTCTGCTTCAGTATCTTCAATATGAGGACATTTTATCCACGGGCTTGTGCTCTTATGGAAAGTTTCCTTAAGTCAAGACTAAATCTACATCTCTGTACCTTTCACCCATTGCTCTGAATTTTACCTTTTGGAGACATTCAGAGTTAGTTTAATCCTTCTAGGCAGCTGGGTGGTTTGGTGCATAGAATATTAGAGTTAGATGCAAGAAGACTTAAATCTGAACTTGAATCTTGCTTCAGATACTGGTTATATGACCTTGATCAAGTCAGTTAACTTCCCTGAAACTCAGTTTTCTCATCTCTAAAAATGAATCCCTTGGACTGAATGATCCCTATCCTTGTAGCTCTGAATTTATCATCCTATGGTGTTCTTCCACATGGAAACTATTCAAATACTTGGGGAGAGCTTTCTTGTAACTTCTAGGTGTCTTTGCCAGATTAAATATACCCAGAACTTTTCAACAGTGTTTGTATCAGGAGCAATGCTGCTGTGATTCAGTGTAGCCCACAATGGTTTTCTCTTGTTCTATTTTGTCTCTGTCACCTATCCCAGCTTCCCCCACAACTCTATGTGTGAACCATAGCATCACTGATACCAGTTATGACTTGTTAACTCTATGGCTCTCCCGTGGTCCAATAAAACACATAGTAGGACATAATGGATATAGTTCTGGGCTTGAAGTCTGGGGCACAAGAGGTCAATTCTTTTCTCAGATACCTACTTGCTATTTGACCTTAAGGAAGCCATACCTTCTCTGAGCCACCTATAAAACAGGGATAGCAATACTAGCAGTACAGGTCTCACAGGGTTGTTGTGAGGGAGAAAAAAAATCGATAATTACATTAAGTACTTTGAAAACTTTCAGCATTAAATAAGTATCAACTGTTGTTTTTTGCAGTTATCATTAGTAATAGTATTCAATAAGTCACTGTGACCCTGAACTGCTAGATCCTTTCTGTTTTTACCTCCCTTCCAGTCTTGGTCTCCAACCTCCTTCACATTTTAAATGATTAAAAAAATGAAATCAGGTTAATAGGGGACAGGATTCTCATCTCAGACTAGAAGTAACCCAGTATTCAATAAAACCAAGAAGATAAATTATTTGAGAAAGGACTCCCTATTTTTGAAGAATTTCCAAGAAAACTGGGAAACATTTTAGCAGAAATTAGATTTAGACCAACATCTTGCACCACATACTACAAGAAGTTGTCAATTTATACGGGACTTGAATATTAAAGGTCGTGCCATTAAAGAAAAAGAAAAGAAAAGCACCAGTTCAGATACACTCAGAGCTCTGTCTAGGGGAAGACTTCTTAATCAAACAAGAGAACAGGATAAGAACAAAAGGGAAAATAGTATATTATGTGAAATATGGAAGCTTTTGCACAAACAAAATTATTGCAAATAGGATAAGAAGGGAAGCCACAACTGGGGGTGGGGAGAACCTTTGCAAATTAATTAACAAAAATATATGACAAAAACTTTTTTTTCTTATGAATCAAGAATATGGACAAATAGTTATCAATAGAATTGCAAACTAGTACTAACTCTATGAAACTTTTCCCCCCAAATCACTTATAATAAGAGGAATATAAATCCACAACATGATTTCACCTCACATCCAGAAAGTTGTCAAAGATGACAAAAGATGGGAAATATCCCATGCTTACAGGGAGGAAGAAGGCAACATTGTAGAAATACAGGCATATTGCTAGTGAGGGTGTGAATTGTTACAACCAGTCTGCAAATCAATAGGGAATTATACTAAGAAAGTGATTAAAAGGCCAAACTGGTTGACCTAGAGATCCCATTGCTAATTATGTATCCCAAAGAGGTCAATAATTTCATGAAAGAACCGATAGTCACCAAAACATTCAAAGCAACACTTTTTTTTTT